AACTCTCACGTTCGCCTCCCATTCTTGGGATCCTTGCGTTTTCTGCACAGTTGAAGGTTCCAAGAGGGAATGTCCAGAGTCACAAAAGAATACTGCCCTTGACACAATTACTTTCAAACAGTAGATTGCGGGGATGGGGGATGAGGACATACCTTCCAACAAAAAGAAAGATTCCATAGAGAGAGACGATTTGTGATCAGAAAAGGAGACAATGTGGAAGGAATTGAAGAAACTTCATCTAACACACACACACACACACAACAGAGGGGTTGTTCTCCATCACCCACTGTCCAGCCTCCCTGCTACAGAATCTGGCTGAAGCTTGGTGACCTGTCTCTATGCCTCTTCTCCCTCCCAGAGCCCAACTGCTGTCACTATGCTTTGCCAAGGAGGAGGGAACTGCAGTGACAGCAGGAGTAAGGAGAGGCCAGGCAGAGCTGTGGGACACAACAGATATAGGGAAGGAGGTGCCCAAACTAGGAGACAGACCCATAGGACGGAGAGAGGAGCAGGGCAAGGGGTACTGAAAGCTTGAAACAGAGGAGGGGAGAGCAAAAGGAAGCAGAAGACAGAGGCACCAGGGAATGATGGGAACAAAACGGCACAACCCCAAGCTACCCTTGGCCCTAGTGCTTCTGACCCTAGGGCCTGGGTGGGCTCAAGAAGGGTCAGAGCCTGTCCTTCTGGAGGGGGAGTGCCTGGTAGTCTGTGAGCCAGGCCGACCTGCTGCAGGGGGACCTGGGGGAGCAGCTCTGGGAGAGGCACCCCCAGGAAGAGTGGCGTTTGCTGCAGTCCGAAGCCATCACCATGAACCAGCAGGGGAAACCGGTAATGGCACCATTGGCGCCATCTACTTTGACCAGGTAATGCCCTTGTCCCTGCCCCTGCCCCTGCCCCTGCCCCTGCCCCTGCCCCAAAGGTCTGCAAGGACCTGGATGCTGCTGTCCAAACCCACATTGCACCCTTCAGGCTTCAAGAAAACCGTCCTGCATCTCTTGCCACATCTTCTCCCAAGGTGGCCACCAACTGTTTGATTCTCTCACTCATAAACACACGTATCTTAGCAATTTCTCATAGTTTTTAAATCCACAAATTCCTGTCACGCCTGTTTGCCCCCCCCTTTTCTTTACCCATTGGCCAAATGCCAACCCCGGTGATATCCCTGAGCCCCAGGCACCCTGATTCCCCACTCAACAGGATCTCTTTCCCGAAGGTGCTGGTGAACGAGGGTGGTGGCTTTGATCGGACCTCGGGCTGCTTCGTGGCCCCTGTCCGAGGAGTCTACAGCTTCCGATTCCATGTCGTAAAGGTGTACAACCGCCAAACTGTCCAGGTGACCAGAGTGCCAGCCCCATCTTCCGGGCGGGGGCGGGGGAGGTGGGGGCATAAGTAGAAGGCAGCACATCCCTGGGTAGCTCTTCTATTGACCTGTATACTAGGGGCCATGAGCAGGGGAGGAAGGGTCCTAGACAGCGTGGTGTGCAGAGCCAAACACTGGCCACCCCTCAGCCCTCACAGGTGATCCCATTAAGCCTTGGGTGCCCAAAAGGAAGTCCTTGGAAGGATGAGGGTCTTGAGCTATGGGCTAGGAAAAAAGATGCTAACTGAGCTCCCCTCCCCAGGTGAGTCTGATGCTAAACACATGGCCAGTCATCTCAGCCTTTGCCAATGACCCTGATGTGACCCGAGAGGCAGCCACAAGCTCTGTGCTGCTTCCCCTGGACCCTGGGGACCGTGTATCCCTGCGCCTTCGCCGGGGGAATCTTCTGGGTGGTTGGAAGTATTCAAGCTTCTCTGGCTTCCTCATCTTCCCACTCTGAGAGCTCAAGCCTTTAAAAGACCGATATCTAGCATCTGGCCCTCTGCCCTGCCCTGCTCTGCCCTGCCCTGCCTTGCCCTGCCCTGCCTTGCCCCAGAAACAAGTATCTTTGAAACAAGAGAAAGCCCCCTTCAGGCTGCCTATAGCCCACCTCCTTGCATGAGATCCTGTGTCAAACACCCAAGGCTAAGAGAGGACAAGAGCAGAGGTATGGAATCCCTAGACAGAACAGTCCTCACCACTACCACTCCAGTTGCCCTCCCAGCCTCTGCTGCCCCTCTCCTGCCTGCAATTCTGGCTTAAAGCAAGAATTGGCAAGAGAGGAGCTTGCACTACTTCACAGACTCCACTCCTCCTGTTCTCCACCCCAGCTTCCTGCTCAGTGCTATTTGGTGACAGGTGGCACAGGTAAGCCTGGCAGGCTCCCACAGGGGCCCAGATGGACCAGCCTCATAGTACCTACAGACTCCATCCTGTTAGGAGTGCCAGCGTGAGAGATCTCAGCCAGCACTGTCTGAACAGGGGCTGACAGCCCAACCATAAAAAGAAGTGTGGGGAGGGCCAGAGAGCATCCTAGCTGGAGAGATAGGATGGGGGCCTGTGACTACCCTGAACATGATAAGCATTCTGCAGATAAACTGGGACAGTCAGCAGGCAGGAATCCTGCCATCCATCTGTGCCAGGTCCCGGTGGACTCTGGTCCTCATCTCCTGACCTCATCTTCTGAGGCATGCATAAATGTGTTCCTGCGTTCGTGTGTGTGTGTGTGTGTGTGTGTGTGTGTGTGTGTGTGTGTGAGTGTGGAGTACTGTATATGTGTTTGCTCTGACCAACAGGTGAAACCAAAGCAGGTACACAGAGCTGGAAGTGTGGTCAAAGGTCACACGAGCCTTGGAACAACACACCAGTGACCGTGTGTCCTCCTCCTTGACCACTTCCTAGAACTGCCCCACCTTTAAAATCTAACCTGAGTTTCAGTCACTCCCTACTCTTGCTGACACCTCTCTTCCTCCAGGTATCTTTCAGCTAACTTCCCTGTGCCTACAGCCTGTCCCTACCATCACTCTCCCCTTGATCTCTCTTATTCATCTTAAGTTTCCTGTTACCCAGAGTCCATGATTGGTCCCTCCAACTGATCTTCCTCCAGCATCAGAAACTCTCTTTCATCCCTTTGTCCCAGTGGTCCAGCATGAATGGGTCTCTCTGGAGAACTGTGGCTAGTGAGATGCTGAGCTTCTCACTTTAGGGAGGAGGCAGTTTGGAACAGGGATTACAAGATTGGAACACATGTGGCATGCTGAAGAGAAAATGAATTCAAATCGAGCATAACAGTCAAATTTTTAAAGGTTATGAAAGAGAGAGAGAAAGAGAGAGAGAGAGAGAGCTAGAGGTATAGCTCAGAGGCAAAGCTAATGTACATGAAGCACTGGGTCACTAGGTTTGAACTCTGGCACTGGGGTACAGGGTGGGGAGTGGGTGAAAAAGAGGAGGGAGCATTTTTTTCTGCCTTGGTCCATACTTTGTGACTAGGAATAATAGTTTAAACAAGATAAGAGTCTGCAGCCGTGAGTCCAGGATGAGCAGCCACTCATGGTCACAAAAGCCCAGGCTCCCTTTTTACAGTTCTGTCATCCTTGGCATGACATCTCATGGCCCAAGACAGCTTCTTGAGCTTCAGCAATTACATCAGCCCAGCAGTGCTGGATTGAAAGGGAAAAGAAAGGACCTGGCTCCTTCCTTGAAAGACAGTTTTCTGACAGCTGCATACACCATTTCTGATTGCATCTCCTTGCCAGAATATAGTCACCACACTTGGTCACATAAAGCCAGGACAGGCTAGGCAACAATCTTACCTTTTGTAGTATTCTCCCTCTCTCTCTCTCTCTCTCTCTCTCTCTCTCTCTGTGTGTGTGTGTGTGTGTGTGTGTGTGTGTGTGTGTTTATGTGTATGTGTGCGTGCGTGAGAGAGAGAGAGAGAGAGAGAGAGAGAGAGAGAGAGAGCGCCAGAAGACAGTCTTGGGTGTTGTTCCTCACCTCCCACCATGTTTGAGACAGTGACTCTAATGTTCACTGCGTACACAGGTTAGCTTGTCTGGAAGCTTCTGGAAATTCTATCTCCCATAGGAGCACAAGGATTACAGATGCATGGGTTATGGCCAGCTTGTATGTGGACTCTAAGGGTCTAAACTCAAGGTATCAGGCCTACACAGCAAATGTTCTAACCACTGGGCAATCTCCATAGCCCATAGACTTTATTCTAGACAACTATGTCCAGCTACAAGTCTGATGTCTTACACTATTAAGGAAGAAGGGTAGTTGGGCATTGGAAGATTTTCAAAATACAGTAGACTAGATCAGCTTGTAAACACCATGCTGTTTAAAATGCTATTTATTTATTGCAATTTCTGTATGTTGACTGTCTTGCAGAGTGTGACTATTCTCTGTAGCACTGATGTCCCCAGTCTCCTCTGTGCTCTAGCCAAAAGCTACAGACCCAGTCCCACCCTTTGACTCTCTCTGACCCATACCTTCTACATGTTTCTGACTTCCCTAGGAAAAGTTCTTGGAGTTTGAGGATTCAGTGCCTAGACTAGACCCACCCAGAATATGCCGAACAATCTTTCTATTTTAAGGTCCCCACCCGCAGTTTGTTTGCAAAGTCCCCATTCCATGTAAGAGCATATTAAGATGGCTCGGTGACTAGGGTGTAGACTCTAAGATATCTGCATACCACAGACTGTGGATGTTGAGAAAAACACTTGACACAATTCACCCATTGCTCGGAAAGGTGTGTGTCTGAGATGCCCAAGATAAAGAAGATCAATGCCAGCATAGGATTTTTGTTCTCTAGTTTATTTCTATGTTATTTGTATGGGTATTTTGTCTTTGCACCGCATACATACAGTTCCCTCGGAGACTAGAAGAGAGTGTCAGATCTCTTAAGACTGGAAATACAGCCAGCAGTGAGCTAGCATGTATAATGTGAGCTGGATCCTCTGCAAGAGCACCAGGGCTCTTAACCACTGAGCCACCTCTTCTCTCTCTCTCTCTCTCTCTCTCTCTCTCTCTCTCTCTCTCACACACACACACACACACACACACACACACACAGGTTTTAATCATCTCAGAAGGTAAATCAATTCCTACCCAACCAAGAATCCACTAATTGTCCATCTGGAACTCCTCGGCATGGAGAGAATGCCCCTCTTTTCTTTTGGCCCGGAGAGAGATGACTTATCTTTAGGCCACGTGGCTGTGTGTCCCTCTTTTTTTTTTTTTAAGTTGAAGACCAAATTCAAAACTTGGTCTGAGTGAGATAGTATCCATTTCATAATCTATAAACTAATTTTTATGATGGTAAGAGTGGAGGCTTAAAACTGGACAATCCCTGGGGCTGGAGAGATGGCTCAGTGGTTAAGAGCACTGACTGTTCTTCCAGAGGACCTGGGTTCAATTCTCAGCACCCACATGGTAGCTTCCAACTATCTGTAACTCCAAGATCTGATACCCTCACACAAACATACATGCAGGCAAAACATCAATGCACATAAAATAAGAATAATAAATTTAAAACAAAAACCTAGACAATACAGCTTAGTGTGACGGCACACACCTGTAAACTTGGCAGTTGAGAAGAAGCAGGAAGACCTGGAGTTGAAGGCTAGCCTGAGCTACCTAGACTCTGCCACATATGCACACACACACAAAAAAAAAAAAAAAAAAAAAAAAAAAAAAAAAATTTGTTGTTGGCTGTGTTTTGCTTAAGTGGGTTCATGAAGTACACAGATTAAAAGTAAGTAAAGCCCCTATGGCAGTAGGTATTGCTTTGTGGGGACCAAAGCACCTCAGATTTGGGGATCCTAAAAATAGAATCCAATGTCAACTTTCACTCAGCCCTCTTCCTGGCAGCTAATTTCCACTGAGAAACTGGGCAAATGAAAAAGCCACTGGAGTTCTAAATACACAGCCTCCATCCACACGTGGTCCTCAATGGTCAAGCAGTTCTCCGGTCCCTTTGACAGCTTCCACCTCGCCCCACCCCCACCCACCCCTACCCCACCCCTGTCAGCAGCAGAGAGCCTCCAGTTTGTCTCCACTGAGTGCAGAGTGGGCCTGGAGCCCCTCCCTCCACCACGCCCACTTCTGCTTCTGCCTCTTCCCGAGGCTGACTCCACCTCCTATAGAGGTGGCTGGTGGCTGTCTCCGTCCACCAGCTTGGACCCTGTTTCCTCTGAGCACACCCCTTGCCTTTTGCTCTTCGCTACTCCTTCCCTTCAGTAGTCAGATTTGAGAGCTTGCAGCTCTTAGATTTAAAAGAGAAGGATAGGTAGGGAGAGCGGTGGCTACAGGTTAGCTATCCTCAGCCCTCTAAAGCCCTGAACCCCTTCGCTTAGCATCAACTTGCCTCCTCTTTAGGTCTTAATTTCATAATGTAAACATCTGTGACCAGGTGCTGGCCTGCTCGCCACTGGCCTGACTCTGCGGCTCCACCCACACTGCCTTGGCAGTCAGTCACCCACCCTCCAGTGTCACTATTGTCCCCAGACATCTAGTCCTGCTTGTTACCCAGGCAGACAGAGGTTACTTGGGAAGCTTTATTGGGGGAAGGGAAGGGACAGAAGGGAGAGAGAAAGACAGACCTGCCTCCTCATAGAAACAGCAGAGAGAGTGGAGTGGGCGGAGCCTCTCTCTCTCTCTCTCTCTCTCTCTCTCCCTCTCTCTCTCTTTTGGTTTTTCGAGACGGGGTTTCTCTGTGTAGCTTTGGAGCCTATCCTGGCACTCGCTCTGGAGACCAGGCTGGCCTCGAACTCACAGAGATCCACCTGCCTCTGCCTCCCGAGTGCTGGGATTAAAGGCATGCTCCACCAACGCCCAGCTGCTCACCCTCTCTTAAAGTTGGTTTCTCTCCAGGCTCTGTCCTGAATTTCTTTGGCCTTAACACACTCAGTGGCACACGTGTCCATCCACGTGGTGACAGTCTCCCCATTTTTACACTGTCTGAACACTAACTCCCTTCTGAGCGGACTCTCACATCCCACCTCTACTCGACCTGCCAAAACATGAATTACAGGCTTTACTCACCAAGTCTTTCTCCTTCCCTGTTCATTTTGTAATTTGAACCTTCCTGTCACCCAAACTAGAAACCAGCTTTTTTCCCCAAGATGCCCTTGTCACCCACCACAGCCACTGGTTCTCTTCATTGCTTTCACTTCCCTGGCTAGCA